CGAGACTGGGTACTTGAAACGTTGCATTGGAAGGCAATTTTAAACATTGCGAAATCTTAGATGGAATGCTATATCATATAATGAGAGAGAGAGAGAGTTTGTATTTACCCTAATCAACAATATTGGGATTTGTTTTGGGCCAAGGGTTTATAAAACCACAAAATATTGGTGCTATAGCAAAACATAAAGAGATCTGACCAACGAATATGCACAATAAATGTTCCTATGAAAAACTTCAGAATGTTTGTTCGATGTCATATATCCTTACTTCGGTATGGCTACTGACTTTCCACTGATGTAAATGATATTGATGTATGCTGTCTGATATGAGAGATAAAATAAAATATGCACTGGAGTATGTAAATTATTATATAATTTAAACTAGTTCTGTAGCTCATCAGATGTCCGGCCACGTTTTACTTACTGGTTTTAGTGAAGTAAATTTGGGTATAGTACGCAAGCAAATTTCTCACAATAAGAAAATACACAAGTTTTACAAAAATTGTAGGTTAAGAAAAAATTGTATACGTACTTTAATATGAGTAAAAATCTGATCAATAACACAAGCAAACACTTCTTTGTATGGAAAATTACTATCGTTCACATCTACAAGTAACGATATCTATACTTATCACCAACATATTAACTGAAACATCATATTATATATGAAACAAATAGTTCGAACCAAAAGTAGCATGATGGGGAATCGAAATAATAATATCGATCGCGAAACATAATTGCTCTGCAAGAATCCACTATTTTAGAAATCTTACGAATTATGTGTTTTTATTTAAATTTGACCAAATACCAGTTAAGGGGAGATATTCATCAATTTTTAACTATATAAAAATTTTCGCTTTATAAAAATCATGAGCTTAGTTGTGGTATTAAACATTTATTGGCAGAAACACATCCAAAACAAATCAGCAGGCCTGTAAATAACATTCGATGGACATCCATTTCGTTATCCACAAAATATATGTATATACATATATGTGTATGTCTTAAGTATCTTAGTATCATTTTTGTTTTTCTATAAACTTTTTTGTCATTTGGTATGAACTGTTGAAGATTTTATATTGTAAACAAAAAAATAAGATGTCACACAAACTCACACACACACATAGTCGCTATACCATATGCCACCAGAAATCTGATAGTTGCGACACGCATAAAATATAACTTTAAGTCCGAATGTTTCCGCTTCCCGTTTCCAATAAGGACATTTCATAGAGACAACATTTTTGTTGTTTTGTGGTATGGTTGTCATGCGTGGCCCTTCTAGTTGGCATTCCAACCCCCATGTTCCATAACAACGAGAACTCTACACCACTAGTGCTGCGTTCTTTTCTCGATTTTGAATGAAATCTAGTTTTAGGTAAAAAAATACTATAACTTGGAATCAGATTTAGAGGACTAGGCTAGCCAATCCAAAATAAAGTCGTTTTCTCTTATCTCACATTGCAATACCAGTCGATTGGATATAAATTGTAGATATTTTACACCATCTATTGACGACTGTTTGTATCGTGTGTTTGTTGTTATGGTTTTCATATTACCGTTAAGCAAAAAGCCAACTACAAGTAAGTGGATGTCAACGAACAGAAGAAGACGACTTGAGAGCAAAGGGAATAAAAATTACAATTTCTCTTTTTCTTCATGTTCCCGCTTCACCGCCACAATTTTTATAATAAAGCAGAAATGGTGGGATAGTGGTGAGAGAGGCCAGTCTGTCGTGCGGTCGTTCGGTCTATGGGTGGTGATGGGGGTGATGTGTGTTTCAGCTTATTCCTCTTCTGCTCAGCCTGCTGCTGTTTGTTGTCCGTTAATTCATATCATTTCATAGTAGACGAAAATGCGGCAATTTATCTCACCAAAAAAAATATACATATATAGCTATATGTGTATACTTAGGCACGAGTGTGTATTTGTTTGATTGTATGCGTGCGTTTTGTTTTACCGGTAAATTTTTGCTGGCAGACATCTAAAATGTAAATGCCGGCAAGCTTAGTACACTCCAAGTGGGGATAAGTACTATTTTTTTGTTTGTAGCCCATTTGCTGTTCGGTGTGGGCATTCCGAATGCCTGCACACAGGATATACTGGTACATATGTGAGACTGTGTAATTGTAACGTAAATGCATGCAAAATAATCCACTCAAATAATAACCTTATCCAAATGTTAGGCACATACGCGTACCTACATAGCTAAATATATCGGAATGCAAACTTACCAGACATTTGTTCTACAGGAAATTCTATTCAATTTAAATCCACATTTTAGTATCCATAGGGAAAGATTTTGTCAGGAGAACTTGGTAGATACCGAGCACAAATCATTGCCATTAATTATATTTGGCTGAGACACACACACACTCACTCACACATTTACAACACTGATAAACGGGCACAATACACGCACACTCTGCCCTTTTTTGTTTATTTTGTTAAAAAGACAAATGTTGAATTATTTTAATACGACGCAACCATTGGCGCAGGGTATTTTCTTGCAACAGTTTCGAAATGTTAGCAATGTTTGGCGTATTACAAACACACAATTTATTTCTTTTTTAATATTTTTCACTGGTACCCTCTTGAATTGGAAAGAATTGTATCAAATATTTCATTCTTTTTTGTTCTCTTATTCGATAGTTGATGTGATTGCCGGCCGCTAGGATCAACGCATACTTCACACACCGAAGTTCATCCAACGAATGAAACTATTCTCTCGCAAACTTTTGATTTTGCTTGTCCGAAGTGCCGTGTGCGCATGATTTGCTCCTTTGCTGCTCTTGGTAGAGCAAAGGTTTCTTTTGTTGTTGAGGTGTTATTGCAACAACGCATATACTCGAATAAAAAAGACAACTTCAATTGTTGTACAGGCAGTACAATTAGGCGGGTACTTTATGCCGCAGATGGATTGTATAGAAAGCAGTGTACGTTTGACTGGAGCAACTGTTTTCTGAACCTCGACAAACATGCCATTCTATACTATTAACGTTTTTTATAATATAAAATGTCGCACAATATTCCAAAATAAGTATTTTGTTATGGCAAATTCGATATTTAATGCTTTAGAAACAAAAGAAATTGTGTTCTGTTTCAGAAACTGAAAGATAATAGACTCTTTCAAAAGTAGTTCAAATTATTTGCGATACATTTGATGAAATTCAAATATAATTCAATAATATCTATCGAAAATTAAATTAAGTATTTAGAATTCGAAATAAAATTCTCAATTGGAATTTTTCTTTTCGTTTTAAGAGAAATCAAAAGCATATGTATGGTATTAGGTAGAAAGAAAATTCGTTTACGGTACTTTCCATGTGCATTTGTATAATTTTTTATTCTTTCGATCTTGATTACAAAGAATTACTTCCGTTTGGTATGGAGTTTAAAATCAAATGATGTTGCATTATTAATTTCCTTAAAGCGGCACAATTGTGCGCCATTTATTTTAAACAACGCTCGAAAACATCATACTATGCTATACAATCCTGTTTTTGTGCCATAAAGTACTAAAAGTTGTAACTGTTCTCATTAAATGAGTCTCTCGGTGCATATAGATTAACTACACTTTTTGAAAAATATTAAATTTATGTATCAAAGTTCTTGGTATATTCATATTTTTTTATAAATGTTCCAGTACTCTTTTCATAGCAGATGAAACTAGTAAAAGGGAGAAATGTAAAATTCGCTCTCAGTGTTCAAAATCATACGAAATGTTCTGCAACGGAAAACTAGTAAAAACACCAAAATTAGATGCAATACTTCAAAATAAACACAACAGCCAATCAGAAGTAGGCCAAAAGTTGTAAAACTTTGAGCGCGCTCAGTGCACATAGAAATCCAATGAAATTATTTTCTCCCCTTCGGATGATTTTTATTTGGGAGAAAACCGAATATACGTATTTGGAGAAATAAAATAAAATTATAGATATCAAATTCTAATATAAATTTGAATTAACAGCCTGTTTTTGTAAAATTCCAAACGAACGAATTCGAGTGACTTACGACCAAACCTTTATTTATGTTCATAAAGGTTTTCTGATTCAAAACAAAAATAAATGACATATTTTTCAAAACCAAGGAGTTTGGTTGTAAACAAGTGTGAACTATTTTTTTTAATTTTGTAAACAAGTGTGACTGTGTGTGTATCTGTAGACAAATACCAGCTGACAGTCAATTGAAGTGATCTCAAAGTCCGTTTAAATAACCTTAATTTATTTTCTTGGTTTGGTAAATCCACATCATATAAAGGGCGTATGTAAATAAAAATAAGATTTTAACTCAAATTTGTATTAAAATTTTATATTTATTACCTATATTATCTCCTCAAATATGTAAATGACACTGTCATCTATTTTTGTACGGCAAATGACGCAAAATTGTGCCCGTTTTGGTAAATAAATGACGCAACAGCCCTAAAAGGTGGTTTACATTTAACCGGATTTGGTTAACCCAGTGGGTTTAAGTTTTCAATTCCTTTGAATATATGCCAAATAAATCCTCATAAAGTAGGTTAACCCGGTAAAAAGTTCTAATGTAAATGCCGTATAAATCCTGATTTTCTATTGGATGTAAAAGCGCTTTTAGGTACAAGACTAAAAACATACGCAAACGCATTGAATTAGGCATATGATGGAATTAGTTCTAGTTCCATGTGATGAATTCTACGACGATTCAAGCTGTTCATTCTGTACCGACGCAATTCTGCGTTTTGTTTTTAGTTTTTTCCCTATTTTGATTTTGCTTGTTTGGCGCAATGGCAGTGTGGCATTGGATTGTTGGGTTTGGTTTGTCAAAATTAAGTAATGTAAATCAGGACTTTTGTTTATATACATTTCTCCGTATTTTCCGAAAAATAATGTATTTGGATTGCAGCACTTTTGATATACTATTATTTCATCCCTATAACCGAATCAAACAAACATACAAGTTATAACCACTACGAATATTATTGAGAGTAAAATATAATAAAATAAATACAATTATTACTACATGCTATATTTGGTTTTATTTAATCTAATAAACATTCATCGCCATTATTTAAGTGATGCACATTTTTATTTAATTTATTGATATCGCCCAATTTTGAATACTCGACCAAGTCCGTTGTGAATTTCTTAACCAAGTGCAAAGCCTGCATTTCACTCATTTCTATGAGTGATGATGCCAAGAACTCGCCAAATGCTCTAAACTTTTTATTGTAGAGTTCTTCGCGATCTATGCAATTATTATCGTTATATTGTAGTTGATTTACTATATCTGCATCTTTGGGCTTCTCTGAATTCTGTATTAAATGTAAATCGTTGGTGTAGCATTCATTCCTGGAAAATAGAATGTATTTTATTATATTTAGCTTTAATTGCGGTAAATTATTAAATACTTTTCTTCGTCATCTGCATTGCAATCTTCCTCACTTGAGGATACAGCTGCAGTCTGTGACATCAAATGTCGATGACGTGCTTGTCCAAATTCAACCAAAAACGATATATTCTTGTATAAGGGCCAGTTGGATTCACCATCATAACTTTCCGGATTCAATTCCATACGTCGTTTCTCTACGTTGTAACGATTTCGCAGTTGAAACAACCGGTTCTTGACAACACTCTCAGAAGTATTCAACTTTATGGCCACCCGCCGCCAGTAGCGATTAGCCTCTGCTTTATTGCGATAATTCGGATTCTCACGATCATATAGAACTGGGAACTTCTTCACTTCTTCTATCAGAGCACTATCAAAGTTTTTTATGACCTTCGACTCGTGAAGCCTAGGACGACCTCGGCGTCGTTTCACTAGAATAGACATTTGATGTGGGGAAGTACAGCAGAGGTAGTTATCAGTGGAATCTGCTCAGTTTTGGCTATATGACGAACTCTATCCTTTTACACGGATTTCATGTTATAATGTTTATTATTTTTGTTTATACTAAATGTTTGTTTACTTGCAACTCAGAGTGAATTGATAACACATTGTTTTTCGCCATAAGATCATTGTTAGACCAAGCTATAGAATTACGGCGTATAAATTTTATTTACTCAGCGGCAACATGAAAGTGCACGACATAGAGAGGTGCATATTTGTTATTTTTTGGATTTTTATGCTTCATCTATTTGTTAATTACACTCCCAGCTCTATTTTAGGAGTAAAACCTGGCACACAATTTGGCCATATGTATATAAAAGTCGCGTGGACAGCAAATGTGGCAGAACACAAGACATGGCTGGCACTGCCGGTCTTCACAATTTGTTTTTTCTGTTGACGTATTTAATTCCATACATTTTAGATTTACTTTCGCTTTATATCATCTGCCTTAAGTGTTCCACCCAAGGACACATTGCCATGGCTGAACCAAAAATTCGCAAAAGAAATGTTTGTATCGTTGTTCTAGGAGATATTGAACATAGTCCCCGCGTGGAAAGTAAGCCGTTGGAGCAATTAACATCTGCACTTCCCAGATGCAAAATACACGAATTGTCTGCCGTTCCCGTCACAAATTTAACGCCAACATTGAAGTTAATATTCAAAACCGTCTGGCAAACGTTGAGTCTAATGATTGCTCTGGCATCAATCAGGAGGCCAAGCTCCCTTTTATTGCAAAACCCCCCCGGTATACCTGCTTTGGCAGTATGTTACTTGTATTGCCTCATAACACGAACAAAGTTTATAATCGATTGGCATAATTATACGTATACGATATTGGCCCTAGGAATGGCTGGTGGAGAGAAAAACAGATTTTGTCGAGTAGCCAGGTGGATAGAGCGAAAATTCGGCAAGCAAAATATTTGAACGCTAACAGATGCACAAATAATTATTTATTTGATTCCTTCTTAGAAATGTGAACGTTCTATACGATAGACCTCCACTGCAGTTTCATCCAATTGAACTGACAAAGAAACATGAGCTTTTTATGAAATTGTCCAAGGAGTATCCACAATTTCTGCCAAGTTGCTACGATGATTTGAAGGAGTCCGGTGTTGTGGAATGCACAGCTCTAACACAGAAGCTAAAGTGCCCCACACAAGTCAAACATGTGCGTTCGATCGGTGTGAATCGAAGCAATGTTTGACGTGTGTGGTACGGTGTTCAAACGGATTTGGTGGTGCGCACACCGATCGAAAGAAATTAAAAATTTTTAATTTTTAGTTGTGTGACGCGCACATGTTTGACGTCTGTGGTCTGGTGTGTGGATATTTTCTCATTTGTTATGAAATTTCGTGGAGTGCGGATCAGCGGACAATGTCACAAGTGTGCAAAAAAAATGTTTTGAAATAATTTTTTGATGTTTTTTACACATATCGTACAGTTTGGGAAGTAAATATATTTTCCCGGAATAAAATAAAATTATTTAATAAATTTATATTAAATAAAAATATTTGTTCTTTTTTCCGTCATCACTATCGCTGACCATCTTCACGCTTCAAAAAATAAATACGAAATAAAGTTTTGTGGATCCGTTTGACGTGTGTGGGCTAACAGCTTCACACCGATCGAACGTACATGTTTGACGTGTGTGGCCCACTTAAGCAACGGCACTGTGCTTTACAAACCAAATCGAATGGCTATATTGGTATCATCAACTAGTTGGACACCAGATGAAGATTTCGGCATATTATTAGAAGCTTTAAAAGGTATATTCCTTAGTGCAATTAAGTGTGACAAATATATATTAATTGTTCTATTGCAGTTTACGAAAAGGAAGCCAATACAAAACCGCAAAACTTTCCCTTTCTACTGTGCATCATAACCGGGAAGGGACCACAAAAAGAGGAATATCAAAAGAAAATTGAACAGCTTAAATTCTCTCGCGTTGAAATTATTACACCTTGGCTAGACACGGAAGACTATCCTACACTATTGGCATCAGCTGATCTCGGGGTGTGCCTGCACTGGAGTTCTAGCGGTTTAGACTTACCAATGAAAGTCGTCGACATGTTCGGCTGCGGACTGCCTGTTTGTGCGTTCGATTTCAAGTGCCTACACGAGTTAGTCAGACCTGGACAAAATGGCTTTATATTTCAAAGCCAACAGGAGCTCGCTGACCAGTTGCTTTTTTGGTTCGAAAACTTTCCCAGTAATCCAAGCCTAGTAGAGTCCAAGGAGATATTCAAAAAGAATTTGCTGTCATTCCAAAACCTAAGATGGCACGACAATTGGACCAACGTTGCTCTGCCCATATTCAACTCTTTCATTTGATAAATCCATTAATTTTATTACATTTACGAAAGATAACAAAAAACTATATATTGGTACAATAAATTAATCAAAGACAGCATTTTAAAAGCGTCGTTTACATTTAGGGCATTCACGATAGCTATGCTGTACCAATTGATCGTAGCATGTTCTATGAAGAGCGTGCCCGCAATACAAATATGTGATATTGTGATTATTCATAACCTCCAAGCAGATTGCACATTGGGTATCGTTTCTAAAAGCACAGAAATTTGACCAACGTTACGTATAAGATGCACCGCTAAGTGGCATTTGCACTCACTCTGTGAAAGACCGTTTCCTTCCATTAGTTCCAGACGAGGACGGTAACGCCCGATATTGGGTAACAATTGCATAAAGCGCTGACAAACCAAACCCAACAATCCAATGCCACACTGCCATTGCGCCAAACAAGCAAAATCAAAATGGGGGAAAAACTAAAAACAAAACGCAGAATTGCGTCGGTACAGAATGAACAGCTTGAATCGTCGTAGAATTCATCACATGGAACTAGAACTAATTCCATCATATGCCTAATTCAATGCGTTTGCGTATGTTTTTAGTCTTGTCCTAAAAGCGCTTTTACATCCAATAGAAAATCAGGATTTAGGGCTGTTGCGTCATTTATTTACCAAAACCGGCACAATTTTGCGTCATTTACCGTACAAAAATAGATGACAGTGTCATTTACATATTTGAGGAGATAATATAGGTAATAAATATAAAATTTTAATACAAATTTGAGTTAAAATCTTATTTTTATTTACATACGCCCTTTATATGATGTGGATTTACCAAATCAAGAAAATAAATTAAGGTTATTTAAACGGACTTTGAGATCATTTCAATTGACTGTCAGCTGGTATTTGTCTACAGATACACACACAGTCACACTTGTTTACAAAATTAAAAAAATAGTTACCACGCATTTTAAAATAAAAATAAGATTTTACAGCCTGTTTTTGTAAAATTCCAAACGAACGAATTCGAGTGACTTAAACTCCTTGTACATTAGAACTTTTTACCGGGTTAACCTACTTTATGAGGATTTATTTGACTTATATGCAAAGGAAATGACAATTGAAACCCTCTGGGTTAACGAAATCCGGTTAAATGTAAACGTACTGTTACAACCAAACCTTTATTTATGTTCATAAAGGTTTTCTGATTCAAAACAAAAATAAATGACATATTTTTCAAAACCAAGGAGTTTGGTTGTAAGTCACTCGAATTCGTTCGTTTGGAATTTTACAAAAACAGGCTGTAAAATCTTATTTTTATTTTAAAATGCGTGGTAACTATTTTTTTAATTTTGTAAACAAGTGTGACTGTGTGTGTATCTGTAGACAAATACCAGCTGACAGTCAATTGAAATGATCTCAAAGTCCGTTTAAATAACCTTAATTTATTTTCTTGATTTGGTAAATCCACATCATATAAAGGGCGTATGTAAATAAAAATAAGATTTTAACTCAAATTTGTATTAAAATTTTATATTTATTACCTATATTATCTCCTCAAATATGTAAATGACACTGTCATCTATTTTTGTACGGTAAATGACGCAAAATTGTGCCGGTTTTGGTAAATAAATGACGCAACAGCCCTAAATCCTGATTTTCTATTGGATGTAAAAGCGCTTTTAGGACAAGACTAAAAACATACGCAAACGCATTGAATTAGGCATATGATGGAATTAGTTCTAGTTCCATGTGATGAATTCTACGACGATTCAAGCTGTTCATTCTGTACCGACGCAATTCTGCGTTTTGTTTTTAGTTTTTTCCCCATTTTGATTTTGCTTGTTTGGCGCAATGGCAGTGTGGCATTGGATTGTTGGGTTTGGTTTGACAGCGCTTTTTGCAATTGTTACCCAATATCGGGCGTTACCGTCCTCGTCTGGAACTAATGGAAGGAAACTGTCTTTCACAGAGTGAGTGCAAATGCCACTTAGCGGTGCATCTTATACGTAACGTTGGTAAAATTTCTGTGCTTTTAGAAACGATACAAAATGTGCAATCTGCTTGGATGATATGAATAATCTCAATATGACATATTTGAATTGCGGGCACGCTCTTCATAGAACATGCTACAATCAATTGGTACAGCATAGCTATCGTGAATGCCCTAAATGTAAACGACGCATTTAAAATGCGGTCTTTGATTAATTTATTGTACCTATATACAGTTTTTAGTTATCTTTCGTAAATGTAATAAAATAAATGGATTTATCAAATGAAAGAGTTGAATATGGGCAGAGCAACGTTGGTCCAATTGTCGTGCCATCTTAGGTTTTGGAATGACAGCAAATTCTTTTTGAATATCTCCTTGGACTCTACTAGGCTTGGATTACTGGGAAAGTTTTCGAACCAAAAAAGCAACTGGTCAGCGAGCTCCTGTTGGCTTTGAAATATAAAGCCATTTTGTCCAGGTCTGACTAACTCGTGTAGGCACTTGAAATCGAACGCACAAACAGGCAGTCCGCAGCCGAACATGTCGACGACTTTCATTGGTAAGTCTAAACCGCTAGAACTCCAGTGCAGGCACACCCCGAGATCAGCTGATGCCAATAGTGTAGGATAGTCTTCCGTGTCTAGCCAAGGTGTAATAATTTCAACGCGAGAGAATTTAAGCTGTTCAATTTTCTTTTGATATTCCTCTTTTTGTGGTCCCTTCCCGGTTATGATGCACAGTAGAAAGGGAAAGTTTTGCGGTTTTGTATTGGCTTCCTTTTCGTAAACTGCAATAGAACAATTAATTACTATATATTTATCACACTTAATTGCACTAAGGAATATACCTTTTAAAGCTTCTAATAATATGCCGAAATCTTCATCTGGTGTCCAACTAGTTGATGATACCAATATAGCCATTCGATTTGGTTTGTAAAGCACAGTGCCGTTGCTTAGCTTCTGTGTTAGAGCTGTGCATTCCACAACACCGGACTCCTTCAAATCATCGTAGCAACTTGGCAGAAATTGTGGATACTCCTTGGACAATTTCATAAAAAGCTCATGTTTCTTTGTCAGTTCAATTGGATGAAACTGCAGTGGAGGTCTATCGTATAGAACGTTCACATTTCTAAGAAGGAGTCAAATAAATAATTATTTGTGCATCTGTTAGCGTTCAAATATTTTGCTTACCTTATCTTCCAATTTGTTGTTAGATCTTCCATCATGGCTTTTGTAACACAAAAGTTTGCATCAGCCTTGGAACCGAATTTTCGCTCTATCCACCTGGCTACTCGACAAAATCTGTTTTTCTCTCCACCAGCCATTCCTAGGGCCAATATCGTATACGTATAATTATGCCAATCGATTATAAACTTTGTCCGTGTTATGAGGCAATACAAGTAACATACTGCCAAAGCAGGTATACCGGGGGGGTTTTGCAATAAAAGGGAGCTTGGCCTCCTGATTGATGCGAGAGCAATCATTAGACTCAACGTTTGCCAGACGGTTTTGAATATTAACTTCAATGTTGGCGTTAAATTTGTGACGGGAACGGCAGACAATTCGTGTATTTTGCATCTGGGAAGTGCAGATGTTAATTGCTCCAACGGCTTACTTTCCACGTACCCTATTAAATCTACGGTATAATTATGTTCTAAAAAGCTGCATGCATGATACTCCATGCGGGGACTATGTCCAATATCTCCTAGAACAACGATACAAACATTTCTGTTGCGAACTTTTGGTTCAGCCATGGCAATGTGTCCTTGGGTGGAACACTTAAGGCAGATGATATAAAGCGAAAGTAAATCTAAAATGTATGGAAATAAATACGTCAACAGAAAAAACAAATTGTGAAGACCGGCAGTGCCAATACGAATCCAGGGGTGGATGATAGCTATGAACACAGAGTAGCATGGTTCTCTGATTGAACGGCTTAACATTTCGTATTGGCAGCCGGCAAAGTTTAAATCGAGCGAATTTTTAGTTCAGCCATGTCTTGTGTTCTGCCACATTTGCTGTCCACGCGACATTTATATACATATGGCCAAATTGTGTGCCAGGTTTTACTCCTAAAATAGAGCTGGGAGTGTAATTAACAAATAGATGAAGCATAAAAATCCAAAAAAAATAACAAATATGTACCTCTCTATGTCGTGCACTTTCATGTTGCCGCTGAGTAAATAAAATTTATACGCCGTAATTCTATAGCTTGGTCTAACAATGATCTTATGGCGAAAAACAATGTGTTATCAGTTCACTCTGAGTTGCAAGTAAACAAACATTTAGTATAAACAAAAATAATAAACATTATAACATGAAATCCGTGTAAAAGGATAAAGTTCGTCATATAGCCAAAACTGAGCAGATTCCACTGATAACTACCTCTGCTGTACTTCCCCACATCAAATGTCTATTCTAGTGAAACGACCCCGAGGTCGTCCTAGGCTTCACGAGTCGAAGGTCATAAAAAACTTTGATAGTGCTCTGATAGAAGAAGTGAAGAAGTTCTCAGTTCTATATGATCGTGAGAATCCGAATTATCGCAATAAAGCAGAGGCTAATCGCTACTGGCGGCGGGTGGCCATAAAGTTGAATACTTCTGAGAGTGTTGTCAAGAACCGGTTGTTTCAACTGCGAAATCGTTACAACGTAGAGAAACGACGTATGGAATTGAATCCGGAAAGTTATGATGGTGAATCCAACTGGCCCTTATACAAGAATATATCGTTTTTGGTTGAATTTGGACAAGCACGTCATCGACATTTGATGTCACAGACTGCAGCTGTATCCTCAAGTGAGGAAGATTGCAATGCAGATGACGAAGAAAAGTATTTAATAATTTACCGCAATTAAAGCTAAATATAATAAAATACATTCTATTTTCCAGGAATGAATGCTACACCAACGATTTACATTTAATACAGAATTCAGAGAAGCCCAAAGATGCAGATATAGTAAATCAACTACAATATAACGATAATAATTGCATAGATCGCGAAGAACTCTACAATAAAAAGTTTAGAGCATTTGGTGAGTTCTTGGCATCATCACTCATAGAAATGAGTGAAATGCAGGCTTTGCACTTGGTTAAGAAATTCACAACGGACTTGGTCGAGTATTCAAAATTGGGCGATATCAATAAATTAAATAAAAATGTGCATCACTTAAATAATGGCGATGAATGTTTATTAGATTAAATAAAACCAAATATAGCATGTAGTAATAATTGTATTTATTTTATTATATTTTACTCTCAATAATATTCGTAGTGGTTATAACTTGTATGTTTGTTTGATTCGGTTATAGGGATGAAATAATAGTATATCAAAAGTGCTGCAATCCAAATACATTATTTTTCGGAAAATACGGAGAAATGTAATTATATAAACAAAAGTCCTGATTTACATTACTTAATTTTTTTTCGTGAGAGAGTTGAGGGGAATTGCGACCCTTCACCCCTCCGGCATGAACATTCGAATTTTTTGCAGGGTTACAATATTAACCCACTAGACATACATATACTATAATTCAATACAATCTACTATAAACCATGTTTTATTGATGTCAAACATACCATATGGTTTAGAAGTTTTTTCAGACTGTATTGGCTTACAGAGGACAGTAAATGCCGTAGTGCGCTGGGTTTATCATGTTCCTCTCAGGAATCATACTTCACAGTATGTCAAATGTTTTCTTGAATGTTCCTTTAGCAAATTCAATTCAATCGTATCGCAATCTTACAACCTTTTGCAATATTATATAGAGTGGCCAACCAACGCCCCTATTCAGAGGTCGTTCTTAGTTCGCGTTGCACGTAATTGGAACCCATTGCCCTACGAATTAAGGTTTTTTTACTCCAATAATGTTTTTAAGAAGAAACTTCTCCTGCTTTTTTCTTCATATAAGTACTGGTTTAAAACACAATTCTAGATTATAATTCTACAAAGAATGTTGTTATAATTTTTTGTACAATCTTCTAGAGATATTGTTAACAAGGCCAATTTGTTCTTTTGTATTTTTATGGCTAGGACCCGAAATATAAAGAATATATGTTATAATTTAAGCGTAAATCTATTCACGAATAGTAAAAAAATCTACTTTTTGTTTTGGTACGTTCATGTAAATTTGTACCTTTTGTAAACAAAAAGTACACTTGTTATAAAAGTAAAAATAGCGCAACTCTAATTACTCTTAAGGGGACCCACATTCTCGGCGTCAAGAAATTTTATTTAGTTTTTCGAATCTACCCTAATTCAAGAATGTCCCTACAAAATTTCAAGTGAAAATCTCAAGAACTCTTGAAGATATAGTCGATTTATTGTGTCAGCATCAAGTGACGGCAAGAGTGATTCTCAAACTGTAAACGCACTTTTCTCCAATCAGTATTTTTCGAATGGCGGTCACGATAACTCAAAAACTAATAAGTCAATCGATTTCAAATGTTGGGACATTTCTCTGTGAGTGTATAGCTATCGTATGAACTAGGATAAAGCCAATCGGTGAAGATCTTCCTTATTTTTTAACTTAGTTTGTGGTCAAAAATAGACGATTTTCCAAAAAAAATTTCAAAGTTCCGCCATTTTGTTAATTGTTGTGCGAAGTTAATAATCCCAGTTCATACGAGAGCCAGACATGTACTCTTTCTAACACCGTTGGAATTTTCGGATTCGGATTAGGTTTATATATGGTCTGTTCCCGTACTGCAAGAATCTACTAGATTTTACTATTTTCTTCGATATCATAAAAGAAAATTCGTTATCGTAGTAAAAAGTAGTAGATTCTTGCAGTACGGGAACATACCAATACTGGGAGGTGTAAATTTAGAACATACTTTTCGCCGTGGTGGTAAATTTTACCTCTAGTCATTTTCTGAAATATTTTTTATGGAATTTATATATATATATATATATACAGTGAGTGTAATAAGTATTTTGCCTCAATAAAAATTTGAAAAAATTCCAATATATACGCCTAAAGCCAGCAAACTAAAGACGTAAAATGAATTATGTGTGATGGAATATGTTTGTGGACATATTTAGATCGTATTTCTGCAAGAATCATTGCGATAGACCTATTGGTCTCGAAGATATCGGCCGAAATCTATAACAACCCAAAAATGTTTATCACAAAAAAGTATTTTGCTTTTTAATATTATTTTAGAAAAAAATATTACATAAAACACGTTTGGTCCTTTTATAGTTACAATTGCGGTTAACCACATACTATAAGCGATTTGTCGACGATTCCAATACATCACGGCATTTTTTCGTGGGTATTTTCTCACATTTACATTCAATACATTATCCATCAGTATTTCATTTAATATTTGGTATTTTCTCGTCCTAATCTTAAGATAAGAGTATTAAACATAGTCATTGCGGCTTCAAAACATCCCAAATATGTTTAGAATAATAAAAAAGAGGTTTTTCAAAATATAACGCGAGGACAGAACCTTAAAAACTATTAAAACCAAAATCCGACATACAAATTATTGAAAAAAAATCGCGAAACCCAATTTTTCTGACTTTGAAATTTGTATGGTCCAGTAATATTGATCTAGGAACCAATATATGCAATGGAAATACCAATAAGGAGGTCAGATTCAAAGATATGAACAGTTCTAAAGCAATAGTAATAAAAAACAATACATGAAGTTGGGAGAAAAGATCATTATTCGTCAAATCCTATTGTCTTTTGAAAAACTGTGGTTGCTGGTGGCGAATACGCATTCTATATTTTATCTCCGATTAACACCATCAGTTGCGAATAAAATGCAGTAGGGAATAAACGGTTCGATCTATTTATTTTCGAAATAAGATGTATTTCTATTGCCAGTAAACCGTCCATATCTTTGAATCTGACCTCCTTATTGCTATTTTCATAGTATATTTTGGTTCCTAGATCAGTAATAATGAACCATAAAGTTTTCGAAGTTAAAAAAATGGGGTTTCGCGATATTTTTTTAAATAATTTGTTTGTCGGATTTTGGTTTTAATCGTTTTTAAGGTCCTGTCCTCGCGATATATTTTGTAAAACCTCCTTTTTATTATTCTTAACATATTTGGGATGTTTTGAAGCCGCGACAACTATATTTAATACTCTGATTTTGAAATTAGAACGAGAAATTACGAAATATTAAATGAAATATTGCTGGAGAATGTATTAAACGTAAATCTGAGAAAATACTCGCGAAAAAATGCCGTGGTTTATTGGAATCGTTGCCAAATCACTTATAGTATGTCGTTACCCGCAATGGTAACTATAAAAAGACCAAACGTGTTCTATGTTACAATTTTCTCTAAAATAATAATAAAAAGCAAAATACTTTTTTGTGATAAACATTTTTGGATTGTTATATATTTCGGCCGATATCTTCGAGATCAATAGGTCTTACGCTGTGATTATTGCAGAAATACGATCTAAATATGTCCACAAACATATTCCATCATACATAATTCATTTTACATCTTTAGTTTGCTGGCTTTAGGCGTATATATTGGAATTTTTTCAAATTTTTATTGAGGCAAAATACTTATTACACTCACTGTATATATATATTCTGTACTAAATTTACTATTTAAAACAAAATTAAAAGTGAATAAAATAACATGTTTGATGCCTCCAAAGTAACATCACCTTTCAAAAATAAGGCAGGGACATTTTTGCAAATTGTTGAGTTACCAATCACAATTACCACTTAATATGTTTACATGTGAACATCGTTATAGAGATTCGTATCCTTATTGGGCTAACGCGGCTTTGGAGTGTAACAAACGGCGGCAACCGTTGATTCGACTCGTATCTGTGGACTACTTCCTTTTCGTCAATTTCACGGTAATTTTTTTTCATAAAAATATCTACCAATAATTTTTTGTAAGTGATGTAAACAATTTCAATGTAACGAACTATTAGACAAAACTATTCCGCATTGAACAGGTTGATTCTGATTATTACCAGACGTCTTTCGTTGCAATAGGGCCAACCACCAAACAGATAAAGAATCGAGAAAAAAAACTTTTCATTGCGACGAAGTCAGTGAACTCTGATCTGTTTATTATAGAAACAAAAAGGAAATTTATTGATAGAAGTACGTGAAAAAATTAGCAGTTAATTATGGCCCATTCTGTGCGAGTAGAACGCAGTATACATGAGATGCTGAAGGATGCACCGTCCATGAATGAAAGCGACAATGCTGTGCATACAGGAACTGAGGATTCAAGTAGCTGTCCACCCCCTTTCAAGTCACCACCCACAAGCTTGTCTCTTAGAAACCATTCAGGTGAACTATATTTGTATTCGCCTTGGGCTTTCATAGAAATTAAATTGGTGTGTTTTTATTAATATTGCAGCTCCCACAACGCCTATGTCTCCTAGAAGTCCACTCAATGGCAGTGTAGATACCAGCATACTGCGAACCGGTGCCTCGAAGATTGATAGTATAAAAAATTGGAGTATATCAACATACAAATGCACACGACAAATAATGCTCGAAAAGTTAGGAAAATCTCAGCGCACTGTGGACTCAGAGTTGGAGGCCCATATTGAACAGTTGCGCGATACACAGCGCAAATACCTTTCTGTTTTACGTCTGGCCAGAGCGTTTAGTTCACATTTTCATCATGTAGTCGTCACTCAACACGCGCTGGCCGATGCCTTTGCAGACCTGGCGCAAAAGAATCCAGAGCTTCAAAAGGAATTTACTTGTAACTCGGAAACCCAACGATCATTAACCAAAAATGGCGAACTTCTGCTGAATGCCCTCAACTTCTTCATATCATCAGTGAATACATTGTGCAATAAAACAATTGACGATACTCTGCTCACAATTAGGCAATACGAAACTGCCAGGTAAGTTCAGCACATGTATTTATCGCCGTCTTCTTCGTAATTTGTTTTTAATAAAATGTTGTTTCTGATTAGAGTTGAGTTTGATGCATATCGCATGGATTTGGAAAATAGCAAACCTGAGATACCTCAGTCGTCGACAACAGAGGACTTACAGAAGAATTACACACAACACAAGGAACTTTATGAAAAATTAAGAGATGATGTCGCCATTAAAATGCAGTTTTTGGATGAGAATAGAGTACGTACTTGCTCCTTCAGTTGTCACACAGATAGTCTTAATCCTAATTTATGTTTCAGATTAAAGTAATGCATAAGCAGTTGGTGCTTTTGCACAATGCCATCTCAGCTTACTTTTCTGGAAATGCAACCGCACTTGAAACAACACTGAAACAATTCAATATAAAGGTTTTAAATGTGAAAGTTTTTTACATCTGAAATTGCAACTAATGTCCTTTACCGTTCCCTTCTTTTTACAGTTAAAATCTCCTAATTCCGTAACAGGGTCTTGGCTGGAACAGTAGTAATCCGTTTAACCGGAAGTATATTCTAAAATATTCCTTGAAAAGCAAAACCAAAAGTATTTTCTCTTGTCCATTCATATATTCTTATGGTTAATTAACTAAAAAAAACGAAAAAAAAAACATAAAATGAATAAAACGTACGTATGTATATGTATTTTTATGGCTTTTTATGTACTAAATATATTTACGAACTTGTATTTAAAAGCTAAATCTTTTGTAGTATACTTCAACAGTCAATTCTATCATGGAACAAATATAAATTTTAGAAAAAACTAACTAAATCCTGGGCTGCTATGACGTGTTTATCGCTAGTGTCAATATGACCATGCGTAGAACTTGATGTCTTACGTCAACAATTGTGTGTTAAAAGCAATACTCATAATTGTTTTGTAGTGTCACTCTGGCAAGTGTGGGATAAAATCCTTCAAATGATCATATCACTTCAGAATCTGTCTGAAAATGATAATCGACCACAGAAAAAAGCAAACTAAATACGAAACCATTAGTGTTTTTACGAATTTTATTTTTGCGTCATTTATAATGAAATATGATGTGCGCTGGTTATAGGTCCTGCAAGCTACAAATGTGTTCTATCCAAATGAGATTATTTCGCGCAAGAGGACCCCACGATCACAACAGCATTTTATTCCGATTCCTTACCAATCTGAGATCAGGGATGGTTATTCCATGCTAACTCTGGTTTCCATCAATGTTTCCACACCAATTTCAGATTCTAGTTTGTTTCCAATTTTAATTGTGTCAATTTTTCATTAAGAACACCTTTATCCTGATTTTCAGCTTTGAACATGTCCTATAATTGTTGCTTGAATGTTGTTACTATTCCAGTGACGAACGATTCTTAATCTACTTACCGGATCATAAATGACTTTTATAATTAATGAGCAGCTTGGGCATGTGGCAACTTCTTCTCCTTCCATCAATTCTTCCTAAGTTGTTAAAAATTAGTATAAATTGTATTACGCCTAGATTTGCGCTCATTGTTATTTACCTTGGAAATTTGAAAGCGGTCTCCGCATGGACAAGGGTAGTAGTACATTTCCTCTTCCTCGTCATACTCGAAATCCTCAATTTCTACTTCGTCGTGATAAATGCTCATTTTCTTACCACCCCACGTCCAAAAAAAAGACAAAACCAAAACAAAAACCGAACAACGTGAGTGATTCAGAACAGGGATGACAAATATATTAATTGAATAATCGTTATCGAAGTGTGATATTAAGAAATCAGAACAAAGAAAGAATGGCCGATAAAGAAAGCAGATAGATTTTGTTTATGCAATGTTCTGACGGGCATAACGAAATTCGCTTTCGGAATTGTGTACATGAATTGTTCCGTTCATACAACCCTATTATATTTGTTTCAAACTTTTTGTTTCTTGTTTTACACCAAAACTTCAACCTTGGATCCAAGGAGTATTTAATAATGCCATGTTCTGACGGGCATCCGAACAACGTAGTTCGCTCTCAGAATTACCTACGTGAATTAACCCGTTCATACAACACTATTCTTAATTGATGTCATCAGAATTTTCTTTTTCAAATTTGTTGTTTCTCCTTTTACCCCGAAATCTCAACTTATTTGTGTTTATTACCTATGATTTTAAATAGAAAAAATTATTCTCTTTCTCCTGAATATAGTAAGAACCCATAGCTTTTTTACTTTTCATTCATGTGTTCCGTTTTTTCTGAAAATTTTGTTGTTTTTAATACATTGTTATATACATAAAAAATTGGAGAATTTTTTGTTTGAGTTTCCGCACATTTGCTCCTTGTTTTGTACGCTAATTAAAACCAAGGGAAAAGAAATGCATATTGCATTATGTAGAAAACAAAATTTACATCCTGCTACATAGTATATAAAAACTATACAATTTTGTACTTTTCATTCATCATTTTCAATTTTACTGAAAAAGTTTGAAAATGTTATAAATGAAAAAATATAAATATTTTCATGCTGTCAAAATTAAAGGACTAAGCAGAAAGTTCGCGTTGAGCGTTTTTTGTTATCGCGTTAACGCACGCAAAAAGTTCAAATGTATTTAACTCCGAAGCGAAGCGCACATCAACTTCGAGCGTTTGTGTTATCGTTTCCTTGTGGTTGTTGTATTTTCGATAACACATAACGCAACGGGTAGGTAGTCCAGCTATTTTTTTCTCGCTTTAAATCGCTAAAAATATATACAAATAAAATAAATAATAAATAAATAATAATTCTTCTAAGAATAACTGCTGACAAAAATAACAAAAAAAAAATGAATTTTCGAATGGAAACATAAATTATATGGATTAATTTAAAAAAAATTTCAATTTTGTTTTGTCGTTTGTAATATTCCATTGAATATGTGGAATCGTCGTTTTGGTTATTGTCGCGTTATGTGTTATCGAAAATACAACACCCACAAAGAAACGATAACACTGGCGCTTTGAGTTGATTTGCGCTGTTAACGCGATACGCATGACGACAAATTACAACATGTTTGATATTTAGTTGTACCATGTTTGTACCAACTTCTGCTCTAATTTTGCTACCTTATTAAATCTGCCATAAATGAAAACAAAATCAAAGAAAGAGCAAGAGAATGACGGAATCGCATTCCCCTTTTGACACTTTTTCTAAACAAAGTGACATTAACATCTCCGGCATCTGAATCGGTTCCAGGTGGGCTTATGTGTGCCCTAGTATTCCGGAGGATTTGATCTAAAAATAAATAAGACAAACGGAAATGGCAAGCGCGAACCAGAAGTTGAGTGACAAAAATCTCTACGAGATATTGGGTATTGATGTTGATGCCCAAGAAAGTGAGATCAGAAAAGCATATCGTAAAAAAGCGTTGGAATGCCATCCGGATAAGAACCCTGACAATCCAAAGGCGGCCGAACTTTTCCATGAGCTGTCCAAGGCTTTGGAGGTGCTTTCTGATGTAGCTGCCAGAGCGGCATACGACAAAGTGTGGAAGGCCAGGCAGGCGGCCGAAGTTCGACATAGACAACTAGATTCCAAGCGACAGAAACTAAAGGAGGATTTGGAACGCAGAGAAAAGGACGCCCTCAGTAATCTGTTTTCGAAAAGTCACAACACATATAAGGTACAGAAGACGGATGAAGAGATACTCAATGATCAAATTGAACGATTAAGAAGAGAAGGATCACGATTACTTGAAGAAGAGCAGAGGTTGCTCCGAGAGCAGTTGCAGAAATCATTATCAGGACATCAAAATAATGCAGACAGTACAACCTCAAAGCCACATCGATTGAAAATCAAATGGAACTCTAATAAAAAGGACGAAGCAAACGGAGGATATTCCGATGACATATTAACGAAGTTTATGAAAAAGTATGGTGACATTGTCGCCATAGTAATGAGCAAAAAAAATGGCAGTGCTCTAATCGAATTCAAATCGCGAGAAGCTGCCGAAATGGCGATGATGTACGAAAAAGGACTAATTGAAAATCCGTTGCACATAGAGTGGATAGACGAATCTTCCAAATCCAATGATGGGAAAGCGTCCCAACAAACGAGCCAAAGTACAACGCTGGACTATGAAGATTTGGTTATGCGAAAGTTGAGACAAGCCGAAGAACGCAAACGTCTAATAGAGCAAATGTTAAAAGAAGACGAAGATCAGTAAATAAACAGAAATAATTATAATGAATTTGTATTTTTCCGTAGATTCTCGATATAGGGTTTATTGATGTTATTCATAGTCAAGTTTTAAAAAAAACTTAGCTTCTCGTTTTTTATAGAAACATTAAATTGAATCGCGAGCGTCGAATATTGATTCTAATAGAAACAAATAATTATGTTTTTCCTGAATAGGTTGAATTTTTGGCTGTTTTACTTGTTATTTAGTTCGAAATTGTAACCAAATTGAAATTCGATTAAGATTTATATCATTCCTCTTTAAAACCTTCGAGCGCAAAATCTGAAAACTTTATTGCACTCAACGAAATTATGAGGGGAATTTCATTCGTTAAAACATTTTTGAACACACACACTCAGTCCATTCTCTACATTTGTAAATTAAAAAAATTGAGCCACATGATTAAATTTTAAAACGAAAAAAAAACACTTTACAAATGGAAAACGGAATGGATATGGATTATATGGTATAGGATTATAGGAGCGATGAGGAAGAATGTGGGAAGTCGGTAGAAAAACGGAATATGCAGTCGAATGACAGCAATTGCAATATTTTTTATAAATGCAACAATTTGGGTAATTAAAAAAATGAACTATAACTTCTAAACTATTTTTTGCTGCATTATGTTAATACTCAAATGACTAATTTATATTAACCTAAATATACCGGATATTATCAGTGGAAAGAAATATTTAAATTCCCAGCAGACACATGGATTAAAGAGGTTTCATTTTTTGCTTATTAAGTTTTTCTTTTAGCTCATTAAAAAAATAATTTGCCTTATTCATATGGACAAGAGTATTACTTTCAAATCAACTCAGTTGGGATCTGCATTTACCTTGTACAATCATGCCATGGAACTGCACATTTAATTAAGTAGATAACAAAATTTATTCCTGTATAAAAACATTTTTTTCGAAAACAAATTAGATTTTCTCGTATAACTGTCAAACTACTCGAATTTTTTTTCGCAGATTGGGTAATTGAGATATACGGCTACTCTAATAAATCTGTTTTGTTTTCCCCATTTACCATGTCTATTTTCTAAACAATTCCATTTTCGGTCATTCTCTTCTGTCCCCTGTTTCGTTATCATTTGGAACGTTTTTAGCTTGGCTTGTCGTTCGGAATTGCACGGAGGTATGTGGCAATATACTTCTTGAACACAATGGACCGAACGAAGAGGGACTTGGAGAGTGTAATAAACTCTCAAAAGGAGCAATTGGCACGGTATGAAAAAAGATTGAAAGATGTTGTGACCGCCTACAAAGGTTTACTCAAAGAGAAGGAGGCCTTGGAGACTAGCTTGGCTGCAATTAGCTCCCAAAAACAAGTGCAACCCGTTAACGATGAGTGTGGGCCTTCTAAATCTCTCGTTTCTGATCCGTCGACGAAAAGCGAAACGGATACCTCGTCCACAACTGACAATGAGAACAGTGAAGACAAATCAAATATTCAGAGTCAGATAGCCACTCTGATGAACTCCTTGGCGACACTGTCGGCTGAAAAGTCGCGAATGGAAGCATCTTTTCAGGCCGATAAAAAACTACTTCGCTCTCAAATACAACAGAAGGAGCAGTTGATAAGTGATCTGCAAGCGAAGCTGTTGGAAAGTAAAGAACGTGCCAAAGCGGATGTGGATGAAGTCAAGGCCAAATGGATAATTGAACGACAAGAACGAGAAAAGGAAACGAACAATCAAATGCTTATGATTCGGGAGCTACAGAAACTATATGCCGACGAGAGACATCTGAAGGAAAACATCGAAATGCAATTGAACAACTTCAAAACCAATTTCGCCAGTAACGAAGCTGAGCACACTCGACTCAATGAGTTACAAACTCAACTTAAGGAAGCAAAAGCTCAACTAAAACAGCTTCAAGCGGAAAAGGGCATATCCGACAACGCTAAAGGTAGCCCAAATAGCACGACTCTCTTGAAACAACTCCAACTGGAAATGCAACAGCTGAAAGAGCAACATGCTGTGGCCATTAAAAATGAACAACGACGGGTGCAAATGGCTGAGGATGAATCGCGCAAGCAAGCCATTCTCCATGAAGCAAATTTAACCAATCTCGAAACTAAGCTAGCAGAGCTCAGCAAGACCGTGGGCAATTATGATCGACTTCGTCAACAGGATCAGGAAGCAATTAATGCGCTGAAGAAGCAACTGCAGGATTTGGAAAGGGCGACAAACGAAAACGTAACAACATTCCAGAAGTGTGCTGAAAAGGCTATCGGCATAAGCGACAGTTACAACGACACTGACTTGGGTCACATAGTGGATGAAATATTGCGTTTAAAACGCATAATTCTTACAGAAAACTCTCGCTCATCGAATCCAATGGATTTGGCCAGTATATTCTCCGTGAGCACCGATCATTCGCATTGCCAGGAAGAATTAATTGGAACTTTACATGAATTGGACGCGGCGAAGTGTGAGATAGAGCAACTCAAAGAAAAGGTTGAGCAACAGAAATCCCACGTTTCAACATTGCAAGAAAAGGTCAAGGTTCTAAATCGCAACATAGACGAACAGGAACTGGAATTGAAGCATTACAATGAAAAGCTTCAGCTAAGCGTTAAAGAAGAGAGAGACAAGTGGAAGAGTTTGCAAAGTGATATTGAAAATGAGTATCGTATTAAATTGACTGAGTTGGAGCAGCAACTCCAGAAACAACGACAGAGATCGCTACAGCTGTTGGATGAAAAAGAACAGGAGATTAAGGCTTTACAGACATCGTTTGAAATATTTCACAGTTCAAATAATGTAGGCGCCCAATTATTACCCAACGAAGCTCCAGTTTGTGCATCTTCAGACGGCGAGAGTAATGAAGATGTTACAACGTCGTCCAACATCCGCAAGGTGTCACTGAAAGCAAAGAAACTTTCCGTGGGCGAAAGTTGTCACATGCTTCATTACGCCAACGAAATCGCTCGAAAAGACATCGAGATCGCGAATTTGAGGAAAGCCAAATATCAAGCGGAAACAGCTATGCGGAAAGCTATACACGATAAAGTAGTTAGCCAAGAGGAACTTAGCAATAAAATAGATGCATTGGAGGAGCAAGTCGATAGGTACCCATATAAAATAACACAGTATAACATTTAATTACAATGCTCCCTTTTCAGGTTGGAGCGGTGCCAAACACGAGAGGGAGCTAATTTGGAATATCTGAAAAACGTCGTCATCAGCTATATTGTATCCAAAGATGCCGATGGAAAACGTCATATGATGAATGCAATTAGTGCTGTTTTGCAGTTTACACCAGCTGAGATGCAGGTCATTAACGCTTCCCTTCAGAAGAAGTAAACCCTTTTTTGTTTGTAGTTTTTAAGTCTCTGTTAAACATTCTTATGTATTTACACAATAATATACAACAATGACCACACGAACATGAGGTATTCAATTTATTTAGTGGAATCCATTTACAGGAAACTTAGCCAAATGATCTTTTAATACCGCCGGGAACATAGAAAAGAACTTAAATCGTGTTCCCATTTGGTTGGGATGAGTTAGCATCTCGTAGGCTGACATAATAGTTGGTTGATTCTCTGGAAGAGCATTCTTTAATAAGGCCTGTAAGAGGAAAATGGTTGGTACAATTTTTCGATGTATTACTAAAATTAGTAGATTTACCTCTAATCGCGCCTTTCCCTGCATTCTGTCTAAGAAAACGCCTTGTTCCACAGGACCAAAACACACAACTTGATTTTTTTGCTCAGCTACAGTTTTCAACTGTCGAAAATCTACATCGGCTGTAAGGTCAGCTGATCCGGGCTTCTTCAGGGGGTCGTGCAGAGTGTGTTTTTTAAATGCCTAAATTTCATTCGAAAACCAAACTAGATTTTATGTGAATTTATTCAGCTAACAAATATCGGGATATGCTGAATATATGAGCTGGACCGGGACTTCGTCCAATAATATTTTTATTGATGTAATCACCAAGACCTACCTGTAGAGGAGTCTACGATCAGAAACGACCCGAGTCTTATTCGGCCAACGTCTGTCACCTCAGCCCATTGTGTAAAATCAATAGGGCTGCTACAACAACAACTTGTAGTAATTTAAGATCGATCCCAATCCAGCTCTTGTATTCTACTTGTTCCCAACATAATTTTCAATATTGAACCAAAGATAAACAATAAAGCGATTATACTTGCTGATAACTCACTCTAAATGTGTCAGCTTTTTCACCAAAATGGCCATAATCCATTATGAGGCCAATGCCACCATCCGACTCGAATCGTTCCGCAAGTAGCCCAACTAATCGATCCGCTTCCAAAGAGTATTCTAAGGACGTTCTTGTTTCACCGTCCACCGGCGAATATATCTTAGAGAGGGGTGTTTGATTTTTGGACAGAACAAGTCTGAAATCCACATCGTTTTTTTCGCCCACATCTATGTGTACTTCCTTCCACAAACCATTGTCTAGCTGGAACTTATGTATTGGCAAGGCATCAAAGAACTCGTGAGCCATCACCACAGAGAAATTGCGTGGCACGTCTTCCAATCGGCTGTACCAATATATTTTCGTGCCTGACGCTGTTTCTCCTTTGCGATAATACACATCAACATTGGGGTCGCAGTCGTCAAAGTTATAGCAAAGAAGTTGGGCTTGTATCTTACTGAGATGTGGACTAATCTCCACCATGTGAATAGAGAACCCAGTGCTAAGTTTGAATTTAGACAGGACCTTTATCACATCACGCATCAGTGTACCTCTTCCCGGTCCCAATTCTACCAACTGAAACGGTGGACTTCCCAATTTTTGCCATTCACTCAAAATCCAAATGGCCACAAGCTAAGAACAAAGATTAATTAACGTATTTTGTTGCGGCTGCTGTAGTTGTTCCACAGACTTACCTCTCCAAATATTTGAGATATTTCTGGGGATGTTACAAAGTCACCTTCTCGTCCAAACACATCCCGATTCATGTAATAACCGGACTGTGGATTTGTCAGTACCTCACGCATATATTCGGCAACGGTTATGGGTCCGGTTGCCAATATTTTCGCCTGCAGATGTTTTGTGAGATCGACTACCTTATTGTTGTCGACAGAACGTCGTACATCTTCAGCTGGCTGTTTCCTAATACTCTTGGGGGTCGGTGCGTCCCTTAGTAATGTAGGCCTCTTCACTGGTTTGTAACATAATTGCCGACTAGGAGTGGTTAATTGTTTCAAACGCCTCAAACACTGTCTATGCATTTTCGCTCTCAATTACACAAGAAGTGCGGCACTTCATGGGCCAGTCAGTTCAGCTCCCTCTGTTATGGCAACTACGGCACAGCAGAAAACAGCTGAAAGCGCCGAACAGCTGTATGCGTTAACGACAAATGTCAAGTCGCTTACGTCAAAATCTCACAGACAGTCTACGACCGACGACATAGGCTACAACGACATATGCTGCTTCTCCCCAATATTAACTTTGCCACCATTAGACCTTTACTATTGTAGTAATACCAAGTGATTGTTGTGCGTTGAAGAGCAATAACGCATTTTTAGTACAATGGACGTGGACCACACACAAACTTTGAGTTTACCAAATGGGGATGTCGTCAAAAAACCATTTCTTATTGGCGTTGCAGGAGGTACGGCAAGTGGAAAATCTACAGTGTGCAAAAAGATTATGACAGAGTTGGGCCAAACCGACATGGATCACACCCAACGACAGGTTCGTTATACTTTATTTATCAGCTGTAGAGTCTAACCTTACGTATTTTTTATAACAAAAATAGGTCGTAACGATAAGTCAAGACAGTTTTTATCGCGAACTGACACCAGCAGAGAAAGCAAAGGCGTTTCAAGGTCTTTACAATTTCGATCATCCCGATGCATTCGATGAACAACTGATGTATGACACATTGGAAGCTATATTGAAGGGCGTAAAAGTGGAAATTCCGGGTTACGATTACAAAACAAATTCCTTGTATGTCCCAATGGTAACAACTTTGTCAAATGCCAGATAAACGAGTTTTATGTGTTTTACAGGGACTATGAAAACAAATTAACAATTTATCCCGCTGATGTGGTTCTATTCGAGGGCATTTTGGTATTCTACTTTCCGAAGATAAGGGATTTGTTTCACATGAAACTGTTTGTGGATACAGATTCTGATACCCGATTAGCCAGACGAGGTGTGTATAGATAATTGCTACATATGTTTAAACAATAATTGGTCAGATGGAAAAAGTAGATAACACAATTTAGCACAAATTGTTTTGTTTGTGAAGTCAAGTTATTACAACGTTATTTATATGCTAAGTCTGTATATAGCTAAGATAAGAATAATGTTTGGATTCTGAATCATAGAAATATATGATTTCATTTCATTTTAGTTCCTCGAGATATAAACGAAAGAGGAAGGGACCTGGATGCTGTTTTGACGCAGTACATGACATTTGTAAAACCAGCTTTCGAAGAGTTCTGTTCTCCCGTAAGTCCGCGAGTATTACCGTTGTTGTACAATATTCTATTCAATAGTTATTTTCATTTTTTAGACGAAAAAGTTTGCAGACGTCATTATACCTCGTGGAGCTGATAATACAGGTGGGTTCGCAAAATAACACTAGATTATTAATGTAGCGGCTTGATTTGTTTGTTTTCATCTAACAATCTAACATGTTCTGTTATTTGTAACTGATTTGAGTTAACTCTTTTCTACTGATTTCGTTGGTTGTTCGACAGTAAACACAGTAGTATCTTTAGGTCAATTATTTCGTATTTTTATCTAACTGAGCCCATAAACCTAGAGTTTGATTTCTACAAATATTTTCGTTGTTCTGTTGTTTTTATTATATATTTCTTACAGTTGCAATTGATCTAATTGTACACCATATCGGAGAAATACTTAGACCAGGTAGCAGTGCTATTAATACGGGTGCCAATGCGTCCAACAATACGGCTAATGCGCATAATTCGACCAATGTTAATTCAACTACTACTTCATCTAGCAATCATACCCCGTCAGCTATGATCCGAGAACACTAAAACAAGTATACATGTCAAAGTTACAGAAAATATGACGGACGTGTATCATCGATTTTCCACGGACACCCACACATATATACATATACACACACAGTATCACATACAATTTTGTTATAAGTTATAATGTTCCAGACGTTCATGATGCTGTTAATTTTCGTCCTTCATGCCAATCAACCCAATGTGACACAACCGAGGTCGCCCTATTACCCGTATTCGATTGTCCTCTCAAACTTGAGCATTTAAACCATAAATGGCGGCTTTCTATTTTGCATTCCCCCCTCATAACACCATAACCGAATAGGATTACTTATTTCTATAGAATGCTTTGTTCCAATATTGTCTACAGTAATTTACGAATCCATATTATTTTGCCTTCACCCATTTACAATTTGCCGATTTAGATGTTAAGTTTATTTAAGAACCAAATAAATAGTACGATGGCCACATTACATCGGTTGAATTTGTATACACCACAGTTGGCAACAATTTGTTAATAGTATCTATGACTTATAATCTGTGACATGAAGGTAAGTTCTTGATCACGACTCACAATAGTACAGGCAATAACAAATCACAATATGTCGACAGATATCTGAGTCTCTAAAAAAACTATTGATAATTGCACCTAATAAAAATTGCAAACTATTCATTGGCCGCGAGGAATTATTTCCAAATCATTTTATTTCGTTGTTTGTTAAAGTAGTGCTAATACATTGGGTAAGTGCTTTTTATGCTATTCTACATGTTTTTGAATGTTTTATTTTGCATAACACCTTTCGGATATTCTTCCAGAACTGATTTTGAAAAATCGTTACTAAATTGATCTCTTCTTTTTTAGTTGCCATCGACTTAATTGTCCAGCACATAAGGGACCTTCTCAATAACCAGCCGTCGTCACGCAAAGGCTCCTCATCTAATATTCAAATTAACATGAATGTCGATCTCCAAAAAAGTAACGAATCCGGAGGTAAGAAGAGCGGGCTGGTTGTAAAAATTCCTGATACATCAGCGACAGACGCTAATAGTAGTTCATCTGCATCCACCATCACACCAACTAATATTAAAATGGGAAGCTTTAGTCGGCCTCACTGATCAAGGTTTTGCCCAACCACAGGCTGCCCGACCGGGGCAAAGAAATCAAAATTACGGAATGGGCAGACAAACAAAAGTACATCGCGCGCACTAACCCAAAACAATCCCAACTAAACTATATATGTTTATTGTTTATTTTCTATATATACTAGCTCATTATTATTTTCAAATATATATTCGATATTCTTTCTTTTTTAAGATTCTTATCGAGCTATCAGAAGATTTTCCACTTTGTGCAAGGAACTGACTATCCAGAGCAATGTCTTCTTCGAAAAGAACTTTAATTTTACTAAGCACTAAGAAGATGTCGCAAACACGCGCTTGTGACGACGCCTATAAATGCAACGAAATACCTTTAGAATGACATTGTGATTGAATATATTGTATAGCGTACCGAAGTTATTGCTTACATCTTAGTCCACTTATTTAACTAATTAATTCTATAGAAATTTTTAACCACAAATCTTCTTGACTTTAAGGAAAATGCAATATGTTGTTTACTGTAAATGTTGTTGTATTTTAATAAATATAAATATACATACAGTCATATGTATATTTTCAATAGCACTTGTACATAGAATTGATCTTTTTTATATCGCCGGGGGAAAAGCCGCTACGTTGGCCCATTTTTGCGACGTCCGGTGAGGGCTTTAGGGCTATCAGTGTTGGTTTTCCATTTTTCGAAAAACTCGTAGATTTGTAATGCATTACACTGGCATAATCGTACTGCACTCCAAATGATGTTGCCGAAGAAAACGGTAGCTTCTGGAAATTGGCCATCATACCAGCCTTGACATTATCCTCGAGCACGCGTACGTAATTGTCACGTTCGTAGCGATTTTGTTCGTGATAGAAACCCAAAACATGCATTAATTCGTGTATAGTTGTACCATAATTTGAAAAACACTTGGGACTTTCCAGATTAACAACTTGTTCGCCGCCCATACGACCCACACTAGACCAACATCCTTCAGCTTTGTCGGTAATAACAACATAGTCGTGTTCATTTCTGTGCCTTTGAAACCGTATACAAGTGTTTTTGTGATATTCGTTAAAAGCGTGATGAATGATGGACAGCTGCTGTGATGAAAAGGACCCTCGAATAATGTAGGGTACTATGCCATGCGGCCATCGCATTGACGCACTCAATATGCCATTTCGTTGAAATGCCAAATGTCTGTAGATGGGATTATCGTCTTTTATGTCCCCCTCTAAATAGGGACCAGTTTCTTCAGGATTTTCTAAAACATTTTCGGTTAGGTTAAAGGCAACTGAGTCCAGGGTGTAGGCGTGTACTTTACTGAAGAGAGTAGAAATTAGAACCAAACACACTAAGCGAAATACAAAACCCTTTAACATTTTGACTATTAGTGTTGCTAGTTATAATGGCTGGTGGGTGTTGGCTGGAAGCATTTATACAATATTCATATCAAAAGCTAGCGGCGGAAGTTCTTTTGAAATGTTAATATGTTATCGTTAAAAGTCAATTTCCTGAGCTAAAAACTATTTTGAAAAAAAAAATGGATTAGAATCTCCCTTGAACTGAACTTACGTTATGAACATTCGATGTTGCGGGACACAATGTTATGCCGATAAAAAATATATAGAAACTATTTATATCATGAAAATCATTTTTTAAAGCATCTTAGGCTTCTTTTGTATTGATATTATAAATAAATTAATAAAAAAATCATAATCCGACTGTTAGAATATTCATAGCAAACAAAGTTGGAATATAGACAACTTGCAAATATCGAATATTTTGGGATTCGTGGTGGATTGTCCAAATTAATCGATGTTAACAAGTCATTTTAAACAAATCTGCCAATCGTTTTCACAATTTACAAAAGTTCCAAAAAATTCATATGTCATATATAAATTAAGATATTGATAGTGAATGGCCTAATATAATGTTCAGTCTACACATATTCATGGCAGAGCAAAATAAAACGCTTTTAAATTAAATTATGGTTTTAGACTCCAAATATGGTTTGCCTTTCTCATAATATTCTTACATCTCGACCTCTCAAAATTTTCGCAATTTTGATATGCGTTATTGCATTATATTTAAAACTAACTCAAAACAGTGAAATAAATAACTTGGTAAGTTAAACTATAGGTTTACGTTTGCTTGGATAAAAATCTATTTATTTCAATCGTGGGTAACAATAAATGCAAAAAATATATGGGTTCATGTTTTGGAGACGCCCCCTATTTAAGGGTACCGCCCAAGGTATATTTAATAAGTTAGCCGCATCGGCCTAGCTGTTGGTGCAAATAAATGCCAAAAATGTTGTTGTAATATTGAACCAAAAAATTAAAAAACAAAATTATAAATGAAAATCTCCGAATTTCGAAGAGCTTGTTTGGCAATACTTTTATTAACATTTTCTACAAGAATTTGTGTAAAAAATCTTATCAATCTGTTTATTTTGGCAAAATATGTTTGTCATATCAAAATACAACAACCGGTGTTTGTTGTAGAAATTCGCCGATGCGGCGAATGGTACCCCCATTTGCGGTATTTTGAAGGCCCTAGCTTCATTATCCAAACCACAATGTTGTAATTTCGCATAACATAACAAATAGTTTGACTCTTGTGCTAAAAAAGTTTTCAAATCACAGATTTCAATCAGAGCTTAATACAACTTTGGTTTAAGAAATATCGTGGTTCCTTCTCTAATCTCTTCAATATGTATTCTGAGAAAAAAAATACAATCTTGATGGTCCAGATGGTTTTAATTGTTATTGGAGAGATATACGCAAGGAACCACGATATTTCTTAAAACGATTCCTTAAAGGTATGGGAGCATTTTATAGCGACGGAAAGCTTGATTTGACATTTCAAGTCTTGGAAGACAAATTATAGTCATTTTGGGAAAGCAGCAACAATGAAGGACTCGTTTTTCAGCGTCAGTTGATAAAAGTCGTCATACTCATGAATGGTTAAAATCAAAAAAATATTCAATCTTCCGACCAGAATCCAATCGAGAAAATATGGGGAATCTAGACTCGTCGTGTCTATGCAGAAAATCGCCAATACCCTTACTTACATTATTATACTTTATTAAACCCCAAAGGAGTGATTATCGAAGAATGACGGTCAGTTGAATTAAAGGTGCTTTTATAGTTATGATACGCAATATTGGGCAATACATATCCAATTAACTCCCCCATAGATGATTAAAAATTAAAAAATTATAATAATAAATATAATAATAATAATTATAATAATAAATGTGTTGTGTGTTTATTTTAATTGAATACTCATCGCCAATTTATAGCTAATTAACATTTTGAATTTCAGGTATGATTTTGAATTTGCTACCTTAATACGACAGGATCAAAGGCATTTCCAGTTAACATATTTGTTAAGTTCACCACGAAGTTGTTTTATCGTAGACACAAACATGTCGTTATTTTAAATTGGCTAAAGCAAATCACACACCAACTACCCAATGAATCAGTAAAGCCTCGTCGTGGTAAACCATTTCCAAATGCCAAGATGGTCGTCTCTCTCTTTTCGATACCTGCTTCAGCACATAACTATGGTTACCTGTTACACCTTTGATAGCATTTTTATGCTGTCCATCTCATTCTTCTGGCACACTCACACACTACCGGATTCATATCTGTGTGTGTGTGTGTGTGTGTCAATGTGTTTGTGAGTAGTAAGCAAGACCTGTAAGCGCTAAGTGTTGGCGCACTTAATGCTGGCTAGCAAAATCAGTTTACTATCTGTTCTCGAGCGTAATCGTTGCTTTGTTTAGAGTTAAGTATTAGCCGACCGGGACTTGAGTATCGTATAAAACAAAAAGAAAAAAGCCACAAGAGATGGCTGCATGTGATTTGTGCAAGAGCAAGTGAGACGGAAATTCAACTGTGAAATTGGAAATCCTCAAAATTGTGCTGTAGTTTGTAGTTCTTGTAAATTCGGTCAAAACACAACAATTGGAAATTCCACAAATACGCAAAGTGTGAAAAAATCAGAATCGATGTTAGTGAGTAAATAGTTTTATTCGGCCGATTGATTATGCAAATGGCCTCTCTCAGCAACAAAAAATATAGAAAATATTGAAAATATTAATATGTTCATGTGAATGAAAGTTAAGTGAAACAAAAAAAGTGGTAACAGCACAAAGCAAACAACGGCAACAACAACAAAAAATCAACGACCAAAAACCACACATATACAGCTACACACTGGCATACAACCACTACTACCAACCGCAACGTCGCTACCACCGCCAGTGCTGTAGATAACCAGTTCTAGATGAGAAAGTGTATTTTTTGCTGCTAGCCACTGTGTTAGCCAGTAGTAGTATATGCCGAGAATCTAACCGCATCACATAGATACGGGACACAAACACATACCAATAAACATTTGAGACATTTCAGTGTGCGTTTCAGTTTCTGTTTCTTGCAGTTGTGCATAATTAGATGCAAACAAACTGTTGAAACTGTCAGAGATACCTCAGTTTAGTTTTTCCAATGAATTTCCAGCGAAAACAATTCACATTGTGAAAAGTGATCAACAACTATGTCGTCATTAATTGTAACACCATTGTCATCGACAACATCGTCGTATCCATTGGACAAATCTCGGCGTCAACAGCAGCACCAGCTCAGTCACATAACAACAAATCAATCACAAAGAAAACGAAGAACAGCAACAACAAAACAGATAACAACTATAACAACGACGACAGGAAAACAAGTACCAAGCACTTCCAATTCAACCATGTCCACAGCTTCAGCGGTGATAGCAAATAATGCGTCACCAGCAATGCTCTCCCCCATTCCCAACAGCAGCAGCAACAACAACAACAACGACACCACTAACATGGACCACAACAAAAACAATAGCCATAGTACAAGATCGTTGTTTAAACGGCCCAGTGCAGCTATCACATTGCAGTGGTTTTGCTGTCTTCTAATATTCCTGCTATCCCCAGGTAAGTTGTGCCGATGTGAAATGTAATTACTACCGATGCGATACATTTATGGAATTCCCCTTATAAGCCACCCTAAACATGGTATATCTGCTATGCCTATCGAATGGCGTAGTATTTTATATATAGAAAAAATAATAATAATTAATTATAAATGATTTTGTCATATACAATTCGTGGCTATTACAACGCTTTTCTAAATTGGTTACACGAATCTGGCCAGAGCCACATTTATTTACCAAGATGTTCCCTAAATTAGGTAGCCATAAAATTTATCTTACTACTAAGTACAGTGATTAGCAGAAGCTACATTCTACAAATAATAAAAACGCACATTTTAATATAATAATTTCTCCGACAAATGCCTACCTGTTTTCGAGCAGGACATGTTGGAGGGAAATTCCAAAATATTTACGACAGCAACACGTTTAAAGGTGTTACAAAGTAGCCTTTTTTTGCCTTTTGTGGAAAATGTCCATTAGGAATTCGTAGAATTCGTAAATGGTTTAATGATAAACGATTTCGTGCTTTTCGTCGTATCGACATCCTCGTATTGGTATTATCGTATTTAGCATACTGCATACTTTATATCTAAATAGATAAATAATTGTTTTTGAAAATAAATACAAATTAATGTCATATTTCCATTTGTTTAGGGTCTATTTTAAAGAGAGGCATATTTAGTTATACCATAGAGCCAGTGGCATAGGCAAATAATTGTATTGACAGCAAAATGATCATATTGAGTTTTCCGACTGGGACTTTAATTTGTTCCTTTTTCCCTTCCCAAAAATAGATTTCGACAATTTTTGCAGGTTGTTCCTTATAATAAATGCATTTACAGCCATGCTAAAAAAAATAAAATAATAATACTGCAGGAAGCAGCTTTCCAAACTATTTATAATATTTACAACACATGATTAAATTATTCCAGTAATATAATGTAACATCGACAGCTTTTCATGTATATTCCACTATTTAGAACCTCTATTTTATTAGACCTTGGGTAAAAACGCATCATTTATTAAAAACAAATCTAACACAGAGGCCCGTTCTTACTCAAGTATTACGGCTTCTATTACAAAATGTTTTTAGTCGAAAATTACAGTAAACGGTGCGTACTCTCCATTCAATAATAGAATTAATTCAACCATTGTGTATATATTAGCCCCATGAGATAATCATGGGTCTGTCGAATGAATTATGACTGATTAGATACATTGATCCAGCATATCTATAAGGACGTTTATTTTCAAAAAATAATCTGCATCAAAATTTGTTAATTTTGTTATTTGCAGCCACCACGTGATTATGACCAAGACAAGTTTCTCTTCTAAAATCAAAAGAACGATTCGAATTAATAAGCATTATGGTGATAGATAAGCTCTTTTTTAGTTTTTAATTTTATCTATGAAATGAATATTTTAAAGCACCACGTTCGTCCGAATATAACCATGAATGTCTGATTAGGAGCACCGAAGACCCTATTGAATTAACAAAAACGGCACACCCCTGGAAAAAGAAAACAACGATGGGAGGGGAAAGAGGGTGGTGAATGATGGTGGCCATGGTTAATGGACATAACTATTTGTCAGTTGTACTAAACTTTGAGCATATTTATATGACTGTGATTTACATGCCAACAATTCCGCCAGCCGGCCAGTCAAAGAGGCAACAACAGCACCACATGATACATACCTACATACGTACACACTTGTACGTATAATGAAAACCTAATACTCAACCTTAGGCGTAGCTTTTATTGTGGCTGCATTGAAACATTTATAAACATTTACCGTTGGTTTCACTCAGCACTCATATCGATCGCAGCATTTTTATGGGACCTCGAATTATTGATTGTTTATATTATTAATGAAATAATTACGTATTATAGGTTGTAGGTATGTGTGGGTGTGTGTGTGAGAGGGGGAGAGAATAACTGAATGAGAGGGAGAGATAAGCAAACAAGACAGTTGAATATTATTTTTCTACGAGAATGTTGGCATCCAAAAGTGTTCTGTATGTAAAGTGTGTGTGTGTGTGTGTGAACAACAGTATGCGTCATCAAAGCCAAACTTAATGTCTATTATAATCGTTGTTATTGTTTTCTTTTTTTACTGTTTTGGAATGCATCAGCGAACCATTTATGTTTGTTTTGTTGCCGCCATGTTACTGCCCCTTTTTTGTAAGTTCGGGTTACTGAACTAATCATTTTGTTGTTCCCAACGCCCCAGCGTCAAGGGAACTTTATTGTTTATCCCAACATGTTATTGTTGTTGTGCTTTTATTTAGAATTCGGTTATCTACTCGAACGGAAAGGCCCTAACGTTTATAAATGTATTGAAGCGTATTTGCCTGCCCTCTTGATCTAAAGCTATTCTACCTTTAACTAGCAAATGTTACTAAGCTGTCGACATATTTACGCTAGAATGCGGAAACAGGTTTATAAAATTCCCATTTATTGTTTTGTTTTTGTGCACACCCGATCGCCACCACCACGTCTCTCCATAGAAATTCGGTCAGAACATAGAACACAGATGTTCACGATTGTATGGTTGTGTTAGTATAAACATATACCTATGTGAAAAAAAAAACAAAAAATCTTGGTGGAAAATGTTTATACTACTTGCAGTAATTCTCACCATTCTCTCATGAGAAAGATAATAACCAAAAAAACAAAATGAAATCTAAAAGATGCCAGAAGTACGGTTAAATCTTTTCTCAGGTTCTAATAGAGGCAAACAAACAGCTGGACGACTGTACACATACAAATATACATAGGAAGATTAATGTATGCGAGTGTGTTCGTCTTTTCATGATGTTGGATTACCCTTCCCCAAACCTTTTAAAAGATTTCCCTTTGATTGATCTTTATTTTCCCCCGATAAAAAATCTGTTGTGTTAGCTATTATAAAGATAGAATGGAAATAGTAATATCTCAAAAAGATGAATAAAAGGTTCATGTCAATTTTTTTTTGTATTTAATGTCATTTTATAGAAAATGAACAATGTTGGTCCGACTTTTAAAAGCGAATCTGATGGTGGCACTTACATTAGAACTGTAATGTAAATTATTCATGGTTTTCAGGTCTTTTCTTAAAGTGCATTCTTGTGACATCAATTAGTATCAGACAATCTAAAAGATATATATTTTTTTGACAATACCATTAATGGTATTTACGTTTCTATGATTTTCAACGGACTTGTATAATTTTTTGATAAGAGTTTTGCCCACACATATGTACATACATATATTTCATATCGTAACAAATTGGCTTCCAATTTTCATATACAGTTTCAGATGTTTTTAATACCACTAGCTATACACATTTCGCATACATATGTTAACTTATTATAAAACTACACTACTATGAACCGACCGATTCGGGGGAATCAGATCTGAATAAATTATAACATTTAGTTCGGTTAGGAGTCAGAATATACTATATTTACGAAATCCACTCATTCTCCAATGTCATATCCATTGACATATGGCATGTCAATGCTGCTTCGAAACATATACTGAACAAATTCATATACATACATATATTAACATGTCGTATAAGACAATGTATATTCATTTTTTTATTTCAGAGAAAAAATTATATTGATTTTTGTTTAGGTTTTAATATTGGCTTTATTATGGTCTAAATAATATAAGAAAATATAAGGTATATTGTCCTCAAATTTAGGTAAATCTGGTAAAAAAACTCGATTGAAATTTCGATGGACCTTTTTCTTAAAAAACCTAAAGAAATAATTATATTTTGCTCTAATATACAAAAATTATTGGATATTTGCCCATACAATTTTGAAAGTGCAGGTTTGAAAAGCTTTGAATTTGAAATTTGCCAAACTTCAATCCTCCTTAAATAGTTTCAATAATCTAACTGCGAAATGCAATGCTATATATATATATATATATATATATTGCCAATCAAACTTAATTTTATTTCAAAGATAGCAGATTAATGTTGTAATGGCGCTTGTCTTCTTTTTCATTTTTTTATTTCGGAAACCGATTCAAACTCAATTTTGTAACCGTTTTATTTGCAAGTGACCTCTGTATTTGGGGTTCCTCTATGTGGATAAAAACATATCTATTAGTTATTTGACATTTAACATCGTTTGTGTTTTTATGATTTTACCAATTTCTGGAAGGAAAGCGTTAGCCTGAAGTGTTACCGAGACTTCTTCTAAACGCTTAACAAATTTCTCGGTCATTTGGATCTTAGAAAGACGAGTGATCGACATATAAAGTGTTCTAAAGCCTCCATAAAAGTATTTCGCAATAAGGAAAAAATTATTTTCTGTTAAAATTCACTTGGGCTTGTGAAATTTATAATTGTCCAGCCGTTTTCATAATTTTTTTGGTTTATTGCATCTAAATTAATCTTTTTCTGTCAAGTAAGTAAAAGTCTCGATATTTTTTTTATTTTTGCTGAGGATATTAACTTAATTACTTTGTTAGCTAGTTTCTTGGTCATCTCTTTGGATTTTATCAGCTAACCTATCAAATTTGCCGTTGTCACGTACGAAATTCTTTGTCATTCTCTGATAGGTAATTATTCATTTCGCCCTAGCTTATAAGGCTCTCATTTAATCAAAGGTTATTTTTTTTCTTTTTTTGGTCGCTTGTTAGCTTATAGTGCTCACTAACAACATACGAAGGTGCATTGAAAGGAATTGAGAACCAAATCTTTCGATATTCGAACATAGCTGTCCCGCTAGTGGCGACACAGCGAGGGAATCAGTTCTCAACAATCGCCTTCTTTAATACGTCGAAGTACGGGGCTCGTGATAACAGTTCAGAGAATATGAGTGTGAAATCCAGAAATTGGTAAAATTTGGTGAAATTATACGTATATAAAGGTTTCCATGTACACTAATGAAATTGGATTACCCTTCGAAGGAAAGCCAAAAGTTGAGTTAAAAAAAATTGAACGAATACCATTAACGGGTTGAGCTGGTCATATCAACATAAAAATAAGAAAAATTAACTA